TTGCGTAGATCGATGTTCATATTGTTGATCACTGGATAATCTGGTCCAGACGCGATTATTTACAGACCACCACCATATAGCTGAAATATTGCTGGGTGTGGTGTAAAACTAAAGTCACTGTTAGTAACAGAATCTGTAAAGACCATCTTGTGAATGAAATTATAAGCAACTGGGGGTTGTTGACTTGACCCTGTCCAGGTAGCTAAGCCTGACCACCCATAGTGCCGCCTCTTACCTCCAGTATGAGCTGCTGAGAAAAACGCCTTACACAATGTCCCCACAGGTTCTACATAAACAAGACGCTATGAGCTGCTAGGGACATATTCTTCTCCAGGCCTCCACATTCAACAGATTCAATTCAAAAGGTTCAAATTCATCCTGCTTGTTGTCCATTATCTGTCAGGGGCTAGTGGGGTAGCCTAATGGTTAAAGTGTTCACAGATCATGATGAAGTTTAGGGTTCGATTCTCAACATGAATACACTGTATGAAGCTCATTTCTTGTGTCCCCCATCATGATATTGATGGAATATTGCTAAAAGCAATGTAAAACCATACTCATTGACTCACTCACTCTGTCAGAGCCATATCTCTACAACTTGTACCAAACTGTGCATTTTTGGATATTAACCTCACCTGTTCAGAATTGTAAATAAAACATTAATATTAGTGATTGATGAATATTTTACCTAAATGCTAAATTCTTATCCGAAAATCAACATGTTCTGACAGGAAAGGGTATTGTAACTATGTAGAGAATCTCACCCGAGTGTCTTTTGATATAAAATATATCACCATGATTTGATAAAGTTACAAATATCAGAGGCTTCACGAGGATATTTTCACTTTTATCAATGAGTGTTGATATATTTGATATCAAAGACATGAGGGTGAGATTCTATTTATCATCAAAAAAAAGTCTTCGTTAGTTTTCAATGAAATATGTACATATCTGAACACAGTTCTGCCATTAGACTTGCTGTGCAGCGATGTCATAGCTTTGTGACATCATCACGTTCATGACATCATAACATTGTCAAGGCATTGTACAAAATCTACTGTCAAAATGATATCTCCCAGGTGATCTCACACAAGCAATATCTCCTGTGGAACACTTTTGGATGATAAATTAGTATACTCTCACTGATGTCTTGTGAATCCTTACTGGTAAAGACAAACAGGTGCTCTCTCTATTTGGCAAGTGGGTGCCAGACTTGCTGATGGACACCATCCCTACTTTGACCTGGATGTATCACATATCTCCAGCACTGCTGACATTTGATAAGGTCGAGACAGTCAACAGATTAGGTCCTCTCACTGCTCAAAATGATATTGCCTCCATTTAATCACTGATTTTCCTTCATCCACTGTCACCTTACTGCCAGTTTAGTGTGGGTCTATTTCTGGATAGTAAGCCCTGATGTGTCCTGTTACCATAGATTCGTTGGTGGTTGGTTTGAATCCAAGGTTCACCTGTTCTGATCTACTGCAGACTGTCAGCATCATTTCTGGATGGTTCTGGTTGTATACTCCCCAGGGAGTTGAGATTGATAATGGGATGTGCCGTTGAGATTGACATCCAATGATCGAGGGAAAAAATACCAGCGCCTTGAGCATGCACCAGTGCGTGGATATGTGCGCTATATAAATATCCTATAATAAAATAAATAATAATAATAATAATCCCTGATGTGTACTTCAGTTGCCTGGATTCATGGTGGTTGGTAATTGTAAATATGAGCTAGAATCCACGCCAATATTATAAACTACAGTTCTAACCATTGGGCAATGTTGAGATGCCATCAACCAAGCTGTCAACCCCCCAAATCCTGCTATCCTTAAGGTTGCCTCTTACAACATGCATAGGCTGGTTGGCACCCAGTTGTAACCCAACATGCCTATAAACGTCATAGATCTGTATTTTCACTTCCACAGACACACTTTGAGCAGTATCAAGCCCACTCACTCACCCATAATCAATTGTTTTTGTTTTTTTAATCTGTAAAACCTTGATGCCAGAAAAACATTTTGTTCACTGTCATTTTGATTTCCTTTTTGGAGTTGTTAAGTGCATTTCTTTTCGATTTGTTGCTGTTGTAACTTTCTGATCTTTATTGTCTTTATATGTCCTTCAATTAGGCAAAATAATTTATGTGTAAGAAGCAACCTGGGGTTAATACGTATGCTGTGAGATAGCTAGTCAATACTCCAGGTCACACGGTGTGTGGTGTTGAGATGTGTGTTGCACTTAGTGGTATATCACTGAGGATTGCTGGGACGTGATTGCTTTGTGGAAGTACAGGTGTTCTTACACCTTAACAAAGTGAGGTGAAATTGGGTTTAACATCGTGCTTGAGAATATTTTGCTTATATGACGACGTGCATGCGTGTGTATGTGTATGTGTATGTGCGGCTGCTTGTACTAGCCCAGACTGAAGCTGGTTTTATAGTGCTAGCCCACTGAGATACCATGCCGCAGTGAAGCATGAATACCCCACTCAGACACATTATATTGACTCCGAGCTGACCAGTCCTTGATGTACCCATTAAAGCCGAGCGCCAGGCAGGGACCAACAAGTACCATATTTTAACGTCTTTTGGTATGACGCGGTCGGGAATGAACCCACCACCTTCCGCTCTCCAGGCGGACGCTCTCTAACCACTACACCACGGAGGCGGTCACCTTAACAAGGATGCAGTGATGAAATATTGAGTTACGATTGGTATGTCTCGGTCACTTCAGCCATTGTGTGCTGTTTGTGGCACTAAACAAGCATACGTTCAGGGGTGAATACAAACGTTCAGGGGTGAATACATACGTTCAGGGGTGAATACATACGTTCAGGGGTGAATACATACGTTCAGGGGTGAATACATACGTTCAGGGTGAATAACAGGCGTGAATACGTTCAGGGGTGAATGAGTTCAGGGGTGAATGCGTTCAGGGGTGAATATGTTCAGGGGTGAATACGTTCAGGTTGCCCAGTGATTAAAGCCCTTTTTGTCATGGTGAACTTCAAAAGATTAAAATTTTAAAATTTTGTTCCAGAAATAAAGTAATTTAAAAATGTAAAAATATATACACATTTACAAAACATATCCAAGTGGAGCCTAGGGTACCGTTGTACAAAACAACCTTAGCGTTAAGGCTACCTTAAGTCTGCGTTAATGAATGGGAGTTACGGTAACCTTAGCGCTAAGATCGCTTTGTACAACGGCACCCATAACATTATTTAATTTCTGTCTAGAACTGAGGCAGAAGACTTCCCAAATCATTCTAGACTTAAGTTTGATCCATTTGTTTTTTCTCTTTCAATTTTATTTATTAATCTAGACTTGCCACATATTGTAGACTTGCATGAGCTGTGTTAGGACTAAGTAACAGCTTTCATATTAGATACATAATGCTGCTCATTTGTGGTGAAAGGGTTGAGCTAACTCGTGTAACAACAATTGGACCTTGTACAAACTTGTTGGATCCAATTTGATTTATTCTCAAGGGTCTGGAAGGGAACTCATGCATTGGAACACTATGTTAAGTAATATCAGTAATGTCTCCTACCTGTGATCTGTTTGGGAGTGTGATGTCGTGTTTGAGTTGTTTCTTCTCTTCGATTTACATTTTTTGAATTGTTATCAGGGTATATCAGTTTCATGCTGAATCGAGCCAGGTTGTATACATGTGAACCATCCTGCCAAGCTATTTGTTGGAAAGGTGACCATGCAACCTTCTGTAGCTGAATGTGAATCTGTGTCACTATCAACACATGTGCCTGTCTGAGTGAGTGAGTGAGTTAAGTTTTACACCGCACTCAGCAATATTCCAGCTATATGGCGGCGGTCTGTAAATAATCGAGTCTGGACCAGACAATCCAGTGATCAACAGCATGAGCATCGATCTGCGCAATTGGGAACCGATGACATGTGTCAACCAAGTCAGCGAGCCTGACCACCCGATCCCGTTAGTCGCCTCTTACGACAAGCATAGTCGCCTTTTACGACAAGCATGGGTTACTGAAGACCAATTCTAACCCAGGGACCTTCACGGGTACCCTGTCTGTAAATAACATGGATGACCAAACATAATTCACAGTACCTCAGAAGGGCAGTGCAGTGGCCTAGTGGTTATAGCCTTTGCTTATGTTTGTTTGTTTATTGTTTGTTTGTTTATGTTTGTTTGTTTGTTTATTGTTTGGGGCGGTGGGGTAGCCTAGTGGTTAAAGCGTTGGCTCGTCACGCCGAAGACCCGGGTTCGAATCCCCACATGGGCACAATGTATGAAGCCCATTTGTGGTGTCCCCGCCCGTGATGTTGCTGGAATATTGCTAAAAGCGGCGTAAAACCAAACTCAGTCAGTCAGTTGTTTATTGTTTAACGCCACACTCAGCAATATTCCGCTATATGGCAGTGGTATGTAAATATTCGAGTCTGGACCAGACAATCCAGTGATAGACATCATAAACATCAATCTATGCAATTGGGATACCATGACATGTGTCAACTAAGTCAGCGAGCCTGACCACCCGATCCCGTACTGCCTCTTATGACAAGCATGGGTTGCTGAAGATGAATTCTAGCCCAGATCTCTTGCGCCATTATGAGAGCTCGAATATTGCTGATTGTGCCATAATCAACATTCTCCCCAAATCATTCCTGTTGTGAAACAGCGGGAGCATTGCCGACAGGCATAAAACAACATTCACTCGTGAATCAAATTAAAATGATAATGAGGTTGTAAATAAATCTAGTGGTTGTTTCAAGTATATGTTCAAGGCTGCCCTCACATAGCTGTAATACTGCTGAGTGGTATAAATATGGTCCACTCATTGGCTATTTAACAACTTCCATGAGTCAAGCTAAAAAAAATGTTATGGAACTTTGCACATGATGATCAACTCCTAATAAAGTCTTGTTGGTGTGAGGCCATGTGTCATGACTTCCTCCCTACAAGGACATGGAGGAGGTGACACTGCTGGACTTATATGTTTCCTTGTGTTTCAGAGCTGCGGAGGAGTTGAAGCCTTCATCCTTGGAGTCTATAACCTGGTAGGTAACATCTTCCTTACAACTGTATTTGAAGAGGGACTATGCTGTGACTTCTGATGTCTGTTTGGAGGTTTGGTTAAGTCAAGATGTTGAAATAAATGTGTTGTAACTGTTTGATTGGCTGTCTAGATGTTGGCTAGTAAATATAAAACATACATCCTTATGAATGATAGCCTTTTTTTTATGCGTTGGTGATTTATTTTATGATGATTCGAACACCATTTGCACTCATGAATACAAGCATATGACAGCATGTACCTAGATAATCACTTATTTGTACTGGTTAATGCTTGAGAACAGTGTGAAAATCTGAATCATCACTAGTGTAACAAACCACTATTCAAAACTTCTTTAATTTTTGCATCAGAGCTATTTCTTGACCCCTCCTCTGGCAAAACCAGAAGTTGTCAATAATGTACATTTTCTAAAATGTATTATGATTTTTGTAGACCCCATCTCTGTGTGATGAGGGTAAAAATGAACTGTTAGATGGCTTTGTTTTAAAAGATTGGATCAAGCAGTACAACACAAGTTTATTTGAATGACTTGAAAATGACATTTTGAGCCAGCCTTGTCCCTCTTTAAAGTATGTATATTCCAGACATCTTATTTGATCTAGCAATTGATCTCCTATGTTTTAGTGGACATAGGTGGCCCGGTTGTGGAAAGCACGACAAATTGCTATACAGAGTGGCATCCCTTTGGTGTTTCAGGAACCTGTGAGCATGGGTTTGAAACATGGCTCACCCTGATTATATGTGAACGTTTTTGTGTGGGTTTCTCCAAAGGGTAAACAGTTAAGATCAGTTTGATTTGGGCTTTGTTCCTATATCAACATAAACCAAACTCACTCACTCACACCACAAGAAGAATACTCCATACATTGTCATAGTCCCCTACTGGAGTGGAACAACAAAGATGAAGAATGGACTCTGCCTCAATACTGACCACAGACAGCACTGTCTGTCTGATGGTTTACATTCGATAATAGGTTAGTCAATAATTGCCCATATGTAAAGGAGAAAATCTATTTCAAGTTTGCCCGAAGACGGGCCCAGACTGAAATGGCCTGTCAACAAGGGCTGATGTCAGAGGAAGAATGTCATCTGGGTCATTAAACCTATTACTACTTCGGTAATGTCTTGCATAATGTCTTACTAACACGACTTAGCAGATTACTTTGCTACCTACTATTTCAGGATAGTCTGCGACTAGTAGTGTTTGGAGCAAAATGTTCCAGATGTTCTGAGAGTGTCACCCAAAAGCTACATTTTGCTTTATATTATACCGAACTGAATACATTTTTTATTCCTGAGGGAAGTATAATCCATTAATCCAAGTTTAAGCTGGATTTTTCTATAAATATTTCAACTTATGTATGATGGGCTGTGCTATTTCACACATAAAGTTTTCCCACGGAATTGAATGACAAAACTACTAAGAAAGTGTAATCCCAAATATAACATGTTGCAGAAATGAAGTAATTTTTCTCTCATCTCCCAGAATGCATGGTGACAAAACATTCTGAGCCATAATATTTACCTTCATTTATAGAAAGTAGGATCTGCATGAACAATCTGTGTCAATCACTGTCAAACAGAATACATACCAATATATAGATGGCAATAAATCATTATCATGTTGCAGAACAGATACCTTTGTACAACATCTGTGATTTTTTTGTATTAAGCTTGAGATGATTTCATTGGGGAACTCTTGGGTAGTCTTGAACAGGGAACCGGGTTAGAATATTGATCTTCAGTAACCCATGCTTGTCGTAAGAGGCGACAAACAGGATCAGGTGGTCAGGTTTGCTGACTTGGTTGACACATGTCATCGGTTCCCAATTGTGCAGATCGATGCTCATGCTGTTGATCACTGGATTGTTTGGTCCGGACTCAATTATTTACAGACTGCCGCCATATAGCTGGAATATTGCTGAGTGCGGCTTAAAATTAAACTCACTCACTCACTCACTTGAACAGGGATGCAACTTATTTAAACCTGAGTGAGTTGGATTTTACACTGCATTCTGCATTCATTCACAGTGATTCCACATTCCAGAAATGGTCTTCACAAATTTAACCATGTGGGGAATCAAACCCAGGTCTTCAATGCTACCAGCAAATATTTGAACCACTAACCCCACAGCCTGACTCTGTTTGTCTAATGTTATAGGCTTTCAATGGACTAATTGAAGTTCAATTTTCTTAGGGTGTGTCCCTTCTCCTGGACACAATTACCAAGTTAGATTGTGTGCTGAGCTCCACTCTTTCACCCGCTGGTTTATCTGGGATTATCGCTAAAAGCCTTCAACAATCCTGCTCACTTACACAGGACATTGAACGCTGAATTTTGTGTATTGATCAATCATTAGGGTTTTAAAGGCACAATATCAAGATGTGTAATTGGACATATGATATTTTCCTTCATTGGAAATATAAATGTTATCTGTCTTTTTCGGTACCAGTCTTTTACTGTAAGAAGAAACTTGAGGTCACGTGGAAATGAAATGTCCTTTCACATAGGGAAGGGTTCAAGGGCTTCCATTAACCAAAGCGCTGACTCAACATTTTGGAGAGAATGATTGAGGATATTGAGGGTTTTCCTTCAAACTTGAGCTTAATATTATATACAGTGGAAACTGCCTAAGTAAAGACCGCTTAACTAAACGGACCGGATAAGTAAACACTATTCTTTGGTCCCGGCAAATTTCTTCATTAATTATCACTATTATAGTCTGGTTAACTAAACTCGGATAAGTAAACAATACCACTTAACTAAACGTCTTCTCACGGTCCCTGGAAGTAAATTACTTAACGAAAGAGACCGGATAACTAAATTAGCGATCACCACATGATCCAACATGAGGGGCACGTGTCAGTCTCCAGCTAAACAAACATCCTACTTACAGCTCGCTGGCGTCATGACAGTTAACAATACACTGACAACTGGAGGCCATGTTACTTACAAATGTTGTCAGTTATTCTGCTGTATACATATACATGCATATGGTTGTCATTTGCAGGTTTTGATAGGTTTGGGTAAGTAAAATACCTGATAAGTAAACAATTTTGGCGAGTCCCTTGAAATTTTACTCATCAGGTTTCCCTGTATTAAGATTATTAATTGTGTTTTGGGGTACATGATTGTCTGACTGACTGACTGACTGACTGACTGAGTTTGGTTTTACGCCGCTTTTAGCAATATTCCAGCAACATCACGGCGGGGGACACCAGAAATGGGTTTCACACATTGTACCCATGTGGGGATTCGAACCCGGGTCTTTGGCGTGACGAGCCAACGCTTTAACCACTAGGCTACCCCACCGCCCCCGATACATGATTGTATTCCTCTGGGTTACAATTGGTCTTCACAATCTCTTGTCATAAGAGGGGTGGTGGGGTAGCCTAGTGGTTAAAGTGTTCGCTCGTCACGCCGAAGACCTGGGTTCGATTCCCCACATGGGTACAATGTTTGAAACCCATTTGTGGTGTCCCCACTGTGATATTGCTGGAATATTGCTAAACGCGATGTAAAACCAAACTCACTCACTCACTCTTGTCATAAGAATTAACAAAAGGAATCGTTTATTATGGCTTTTGATGTCAATCACTTGAGGAATCGGGTGTTCAGGTTCTTGATGGGTGATGCATATCATCGTATCCCGACTGAATAGGTCAATGCTTATGATGGTGTTTATTGATTAAAATGTCCAGCTTTATAATGGCTTTTGATGTCAATCACTTGATTGTTTAACCCAGTTTCAATCATTAACAGACAATCATACAGCTGAATATTGTTGAGAGGCTTTAAGTAACTGTAAGGTTTTCTGTGTTCTGATGCTTAATTTGTGTATGATCTATGATTAACTACAAATTGTGAAACTGCATTATGCATACTATGGTAAATATCATTGGCATATTTACATTCCTATAAAGATAAAGATAAAATATTTATTGTGCAAACGTTCCATTCAGAAACGGTGACAATATTCTATAAACTACATAAACAAGATATATAATGAATCATATATATGATGAGTAACAAAACATATAATAATTCAAATGTGTATGATAATAATAATAAGGCAAGGGCCCTGAGCTGATGATGAGCCTTACCAGCCTGACTGTGCCAGGATCACCCGAACCCTCTCTGCTGCATACTATCTTTAATCTGTAAAACAAAATAATAATAGTAATAATGGCCTAGGACAATCAGATCTTCTATTCATCTGTGTATTTGTTTAAAGTTGTACATGTGGTAGCAAATAATGATAGAAAAGTACAATCGTAAGGAAAACAATTGCAACTCACGGGTAGTTCGTATCTCATCACCCAGATGTGCCCTGATAGTAATCCAGGGTATCACAATTAGAGCAACACTGACTCACATATTTGTTTCTTTATTCTGGAGATGTTTATCTCCTTTGTAAAATATGTTTTGATTGTATTTTTATGTATCATTACTGCATTAAAGAATGTGTTTCTCAAAAAGGAAAAAAGTTTAAGAAGAAAAGAAGGGAGAGGAATTTTTCCAGATTCACATTCTTCAGCTCTGTTTTCTGAACAGCTTCCTTCAAGCATTTAACCCCTTCTGGTTCATGCCTTGAGCTAATTGGAGGGCACAACCAAGGTGTGATGGGAAGGGTTACCCCCATTAAACCAGCCTTTGTAAACATTGTTGTGAGAATTGGATGTGTCTGGTTGATCTGTTATGAAGGCCCAGAGCTCCCTGTTTATACCAGAACCCTCTCTTCACTTACAACCAGCATATCGAATCTTTAACCCTCTCTAGTCCACGCCAGGCTGAAAATAACAGTCAGTACACCTTTCATATATGGATCTGTTGTAGGATGATATCCATTATGGAATTATAATCCTTTCTTTTACTGATAAGGTGTTAGAGGCAACTGTGGTCAAGGATTTTAATACTCTATGTCTATATCAGACTCTAGGGGAGTAGAGGGGGCCGACTGTCTACAGCACCACAATATTCAG